TAGATAGAATCCTTTCTATTGTAGAAAACAGTGGTCTCATTTTTATTGGACTATTAGAAATAAAACGAGCTTTGTTTTAAAGTTTTATCATTTTAAAATGACAGTTGATTTTTCTTACTTGGACCTTCAGAAGGTCAAAGGCGTACTCATTTGTGACTTGGATTATCTACAGGGTTTTATTTTATTATGAAAGATTTCTATTTTCTTCACTTTCTAATTTTTCTCCCCCCCTCCTTTTTTTTCAAGGTGAGGCTAATCTCAGAAAGGGCCTGTTCAAAGCAGACACTCTCTTCCTTAAAACTGGATTGCAAAATGGAAGTCAATGTGTCAGACAAGCTAGCGTTCGTAGATGAATGGAGAAAAGAAATGGGCCTGTGCTGGAAAGAAGTGGCATATCTTGGTTGGTATCTCTTTATTCACCCATAGTAAAATGGACTAGGCTTTTTTAAAAAAAAAAAAAAGAAAAAAACTAGATATATAAATAAGAAAAAAAACTCCCCAAATTGGCATGACCATAGGGAAATAGGAACTCTCTTATACTGCTGATCAAAGTATTAAATTGGAAGAGCCTTTCTGGGGGTTAGTTTGATGATATGTATCAAGTGTAGATTACTAGCACAAGCTATGGTATCAGACCTCACCACTGACCAGCCAGTTTTGATAAGGTAAGCCTGGTTTCCTCATTTGTAAACCAGGGTTGCCAAGAGTACTTACTGTCATAGGGCTCTTGTAGGGGTTAATAAAATAATTTGGGTAAAGCACTTAGCAGAGTTTCTACTATATAGGAATTACACTCTTAACATTTTTTGCTATTATTAAAATGTACATACTTTTTACCTCCAAATTCCAATTCCAGGAAAGAAACTGGACAAATGTGCCAATAGTGGAGGAAAAAAGAACTCACCTAAATATCCTGCAAAAAATAAAAGTGTCCATAAAATGGAATACTATACAACCATTACAAAAAATGCTGTAATCTATATTTATTGACATGGTCAGATGTAACAATAAGTTTTTCACTTCAATGTTATGCAAATGTATTTATCAGGTCCCTATGATATGTAGGCATGAAACTGGTAGTCGGATGCTATCAACATTTTAAATATTAATAATGACAAGTTATTAAGATGCATAATAACTCTAATACATGTATGAAAGAATTGTTTACAAGGGTAATATGAGACCCAAAAGAAGTATGATGGGGATATTTTGGAAGCATATGATCTGAGGACTTTAGGAATAGCCTTTGAACCACGCGTGAAGATTCAATGAAGAAAAATACTACAGAATGTTTGTCGAAGAAAGATCCAATTTATTTATTTAGTTATTTATTTAGTTAGTTAGTTATTTTGAGACAGAGTCTCACTCTGTCGCCCAGCTAGAGTGCAGTGGTGTCATCGTAGCTGACTACAACCTCAAACTCCTGGACTCAAGATCCTCCTATCTCAGCCCTCAACCTCCCAAGTAGCTGGGACTACAGGTACATACTACTGCACCCAGCTAAGTTTTCTATTGTTAGTAGAGACAGGATCTCGCTCTTGCTCAAACTTGTCTCGAACTCCTGAGCTCAAGCAGTCCTCCCACGTCGGGCTTCCAGAGTGCTAGGATTACATGTGTGAGCCACTGCACCTGGCCAAGATCCAATTTTTGTAAGAAGAAAACAATTCTAATGGAATACGTAGCAAATTCCAGCTATACTTATTATCTGTGGGATGTTAAGCAAGCTTCTCTACACCTGAGTTTTCTATTTATAATATAAACACAAACCAAACTTTCTCAGGCCATTGGAAAGAAAAACAAAAATAAAATGCTTAACATAGTGCCTGCATATAGTAATAAGTGTATCATTTATATAGGTAAAGCTCTAGAATTATATATGCCAAAATTATATATGTCAAAATATTATCCACAAATAGTGATAACTAAGATGATTTTGTTTGTCCGTATTTATTTTTTTAAAAAAAAATTTTGACCAAGAATACACATTACTTATATAACATTAAGGAAAATACTATAAAAAGTAGGGGTTCAGCCAGGCACAGTGGCTCCCGCCTGTAATCCTAGCACTTTGGGAAGCCAAGTTGGGAGGATCACTTGAAGCCAGGAGTTTGAGACCAGCCTGAGCAACATAGTGAGACCCCATCTCTACAAAAAATAGAAAAATTAGCCAGGTGTGGTGGCACACACCTGTAGTCCCAGTTATTTGGGAGACCGATAATTGCTTGAGCCCTACAGTGAGCTATGGTGACACCACG